CCCGCGGGCAGCGGACAGGGTTATCCGCTGCCCACGCGCTCCGCGGCTTGGCTCTGCTTTGCCCCCCCGTCGAACTGGCGGTCAGTTTCAGCAGCGGCTGAATCTGGACGCCAGTTCCGACTTACATACAGATTCAACTTAAGAACAAACCTACAGTCCCTATCTTGTACGTAACCCGGGGACTGCCTGTACAATAGATACAATATTTGAAAAATGAAAGCTAAATGCATGCATTAAGTAGACCGAAATAGATACGAAAAAATTAGCAACTTTATCAGCGGTCAGTTTCAGCAGCGGCTGAATCTGGACGCCAGTTCCGACTTACATACAGATTCAACTTAAGAACAAACCTACAGTCCCTATCTTGTACGTAACCCGGGGACTGCCTGTACAATAGATACAATATTTGAAAAATGAAAGCTAAATGCATGCATTAAGTAGACCGAAATAGATACGAAAAAATTAGCAACTTTATCAGGTAGGTACAAGACTTTTTAATTGTACTGTGCTTGGCTTGTCAGCAAAGTACATTCACACAGATCTTTTAGGATAACCTCACACAATGCCAGGCATCTTTACTTTTTAGTTACCTTTTAGTTACCAAAGCTTTACATTTTGATGTTGCAGAGACCACAAAAATGTTCCATAAACAGTGGTGGTAAAGAGAGATAATTATGGGGTAAATGTCAGTAGTGGTTAACACCTCACTGCCACAGTATGTGTATTTCTGTTATGTAACTGTCAGGAATGAGTTTTATGTGTTCTGGGTTTCTCTTGTTTGATTATATGTACAGACAATTTAAGATTTTTTGATAGGTAAAGTAAAGAAACAAAAATAGGGAAGGAAAGAGAAGGAATCCAGGAGCTATATTGCTAGTAAAAAGGTAGTATCAACCACATTTGTAAGTTGTCATGACAGTACAGGCATCTAGAAAGTGCAGTACATGTATCTATACGGGTCAGAATTTATAAAATTTGATGACCATCTAGGCTACTGAGTTCATTTAGACACCTAATTAAGTCATTTTCAAAGGCACTGAGAATTTGCAGCTCCCACTGAGTTCAAAGGGATCTACTGAGTACTCAGTACTTAAATCATGCCACACATATATCTTCCTAAACACGGGCTTAGGAACCCATCTTTTTAAAAATCAGTTTAAAAAAAAAAATCTCTGCCCCAGTATCTTAATGAGATTCAGAAACAAAATTAGTTTCACATCCCTATTTAAACAAGTTTGATATGGCAAAATTAATTTCCTTATTGTTAATAAGGGAATTTAAGAACATTTAGAACTCTGCTCTACAGAGCTCTTGAGGAAGTGGGTCTGGCCCACGAAAGCTCATCATCTAATAAACCATCTTGTTAGTCTTTAAAGTGCTACATTGTCCTGCATTTTGCTTCAACTACCCCAGACTAACACGGCTACATTTCTATCACTCTTCCCCACCCTATATTTCTACTACCATCACTCTGTATTCAGGTAAAGTATGTCTACACTCATTCAGATCTACCTGGGTTCAAGGTGAAGGCTCTGTATAAAGTAGTTGGTGCCAATTTCTCGAAGGGTATGTCTACACTTGCAGCCTAATTCGAAATAGGGCTGCAAATGTAGGCATTGGAAATTGCAAATCAAGCCCAGGATTTAAATATCCCGCGCTTGATTTGCATCTTCCCGGCCAGGCGCCATTATTTGAAATTGACAAGACCGGACTAACTGCCCGTGTCTACACGCAGCAGTGAAATGGCCGTTTGAAATAAAGCCCTATTTCAAACTACCTGTTAAACCTCATTGCAGGAGGAATAACAGGTAGTTCGAAATAGGGCTTCATTTCAAACGGCCATTTCACTGTCACGTGTAGAAGTGGGCAGTTAGTCTGGTCTTGTCAATTTCAAAAATGGCAACAGGCCAGTAACATGCAAATCAAGCGCGGGATATTTAAATCCCGCGCTTCATTTGCAATTTCGGTCGCCCTCATTAGCCTCCCTAGAGCGATCTAAGGGGCTAGTGTAGACATACCCTTAGAGGTTTTAAATGGAAAACATAGATGATTTGATTCTGTAATACTGAGGAACTGTAAAAAGAAGAATTCTGTTTGCTTGTTTTGGCCATCTAATACTATGGAAAGTATTCAAGCTATAGAAAAAGAATAAGTATAATTAACTTTATTTGAACAAATTCCACTCCTTAAAAAGTATTTGAAAGGTTTTTTTTTTTTTTTGGAGTATTAATGAGTTTAGGTTTATTCATAATAAATTATATGCTTCTTGCTTTTTTAGAGCAGAGATAATGGGGGGGGGGACATAATTAGTTCAGATTGCGGTTAGTATTTATTTTGTCTGTGTCTCTTTTCCAGATATGCAATCAGGCATGGACCTAAGTAATTCTCAGGAACAGGCAGTGGCTACAGGTATTATACCCTCCTTTTTTAAATCTTAATTATTTTAACTAAAAAATAGAATTGCACAGTCTGTTCATATTAACAATGTACCAGATGTCCATCTTTAGATTTTTAATGTCATTACAGGAAAGAAAATTTAACTCTGGAGTTGAAGTAAATGCCTATAGGATAAGACAGTGTTAGAAAATAATGTGATAAGAATAGAAATCAAAAGAATACATAATAGTGAAATATTATTGCTGATTGACCCCCCCAAAAAAAAGGTTTTAGAGGTGAAACAGGAGGTTTTGGTATATAGTTAAGGGATTGTTGGGGCTTTTTCTGCCTGGAAGACATTTTGGATTTGTGGAATAAGCACGTTAATTGCTATTTTTGCCAAAATGATCATCTGCAAAGTACAGGTTGAACCTCTCTAGTCCAGAATTCTCTGGTTCTGCAACATCTGTGGTCCATCATGATTTTAATTAGCTGGATGTCCACGTATCATGGGTGTGCCCAAGTTTCCTGCAGTGCCACAAAGTTTGTTTATGGCAGCCAGTCTCTCCGTATTCTCTGCTGTTATTTTGCTCTAACCTCCCCCTAAAATGTCTTCTAAGAGCCCAGTAAGGAGTGTAAGTGACAACAGTGACCACCCATGATGCGGCAAATTCTCTGGTTTGGTGCTGGTCAGGTCCAGAGGGTGCCAGGCTAGAGACGTTCATACTGTACTTAATAATTTTCATATTTAAGGGTGTGATTTTTTTTTTCCCCCAAAGCGTCTAAATGATTTAGGAGCACAAATCCAGCTGATGTCAGTGAGACAACTCACATGGTTAAAGTTAAGCATGTGTTTAAGCACTCTGTTAGATAGAGGTCAGAGTACTCAGCACCTTACAGGATTGAACATCAAATGAACAAAGTATAGTCTTGTAATCATTATCATTGCTTTATTTAAAGTTCTTGTTTATCATCTAATTCAAAAAATTAACTATTTTGCAATAGGTGTCTCAGTCATTATGACATATTAGCAAGATCCTACAACATTAAATATAATTACTTATACTTAAGTGTTCTAGAACTGTTTAACACTTATAAACTGAAGTCTGAGCAATAGATTACCACTTCTTTTAGATGTATATTCTGTGGAATTGGTGATAGCTGCTGTTTTAGCAAGGTGTGTGTGGTTTTGGGGTTCTATTCCCAATTCTGTCAATGGCTCAGTTTATGACTATAAGCAAATCATCGAGCTATGTTGCAATGCTGCCCATACATAACATGGGTACTGACATGAGTGTAGTGAAAATTATTTAAAGTTTGCAAAATGCCTTGAGAGAATCACCTTGAAGGGTTAATTATTATCATTTAACTTTTCCCTTTCTTCAGAAGAACCGGAAGCTTTGAAAGACTGTAATGTGAACAAATTCCAGGAGGTGGAAAACATGGATAGTAGGGAAGATATGAAAGAATACAGTCAACCTCATGAAGAAACAGGAGGTAAACAAGGATTGTATAATGAAACTAATAAAGATCTTCTTGTTCCTTTATATATTTACTTAATTGACTGTGTTATAGTTCTGCCTAGACATTTTAATTAGGATCATGGTCCTGTTTGCTATGTGATGTACAAACACAGTAATATGAGTTTGAGTTCTGAACATTTTAAGATTCCTCAGATGATATGGAGATTGGAGGCAAAACCACCATTTTCCAACAACCAAGTACACATGCAGATTGTACATAGTATGCTTCATGGATCCTGTATAAATGACCTATCAAGTTCATTCTCAGATAAATATTGTACATTTCAATCTTAGTTTTATGAATGGAATTATATATTATCTTTATTGATTATTTAGCAAGCTCTGATAGTGTCCTCCAATCTGAATAAAAGCTCAAGGGAAAATGATCCCTGCCCCTAAAGAATTTACAATATATTCCTTAAACAGATCATACCTTATAGTAAATAATAATATATTGGGTACCAAAATGGAAGAAGGGAATATTATGTAAATGTGGGTGCAGTTTTGTTGGGAGTCACCACATATTTTTAGATAATGAAAAGTAGGATAAACAGGATTATCTGATATTTGGGGAATGCGCTTCATGCAGAATCATTCACTCCAAGTTTTGTGAAATTCATACACTGAAATGTTTTGAAAAAAGTAGTTTGCATCAGGGCTGGTCTTACCATGAGGTGAACTGAGGCAGCCACCTCAGGTGCCAGACTGTGGGGGGGGGGGAACACCACTAAGACCTAGAGTGTAGAAAATTGTGTCTGCTGCTGGTGCATATGTATTCTCTCTGCAGTATCATGAGAGGAGGAGAACAGGAAGAAGGCAGAATTGAGACCTTTCAAAGTTTTGGCCAAAGAGAGGGAGTATGGCGGGGGCGGCCTGTCCATATAGGCAAACTAGGCGGTCGCCTAGGGCGCCAAATGGTGGCGCAATATCATTGAGGGGTTTAGAGGTGGAGGTGCCAATTGCATGGTTTGCCTAGGGGACCAGTTACTGGCAGCTAGTCTAGGGCTGCCCCACTGGGGGTGTCATTTGAGCTCCCCACCTCAGGTGCCAAAATGTTGTAGGCCGGCCCTGGTTTGCATATGGAAATATATATATATATATATGCTAACAAGACAGTGTGCATCAATAATATTAAGCCACTTTTGTTTGCTCAGACTATTTTGACAGATTTCAGATGCATTTTCTAAAGAAAGGATAGATTATTCTAAATTCCTGGGAGATGGTACCCTGTAGAATCTTAAACTGCTGCACACAATAATCCTTTCCCTGTAACTGCTCAGTGAGGGAAAAAGTCGAGAAACTTGAGGTTTTTATTGACAATGAGTTCAAGCAACAAACAATTTTCCATATATCTTTCAAGGAAGATACCAGTATAACACACAGACACCCACGTGCAACTATTTTTAATTGAAAATGTATCCTATGTATATGTCTATTTAATGCTTTCTATCTAGTAACTGGTATGGCCTTTTCTCTGTAGTATCAAAGCACCTAATAGGTAAAAAAGGATAAATATGCAGTCCTTAAACTCCTTGCAATCTGTCATGGTGTGGTCTTTATGATTGCAAAATTTGAGAGGAGGCATTGAAATAGGCCTCTGTCTCTAGACCCTCATAAAATGAAATCACAGCACTAATAAACATTCCAGCTACTCTGAGTAGGGCATGTTCATTTATGCCAGTCCTCAACCACAGACAGTGAAAAATACTGGTTGGCAGAGGATGTGGTAATATACACTGAGGAAAAGGCATGCTGTGTTTTACCAGTTTCATATTGCCTCTCAAATACAACATGTCCATGAAACTACACTAGAATCAAGACAATTTATGTCTGTGGCTTCAGGTGGCAGTTTTCTGAATCAGGATTTATTTAAACCCTGCCATTTAAAAAAATTGTCTCTGGATTGGTCACCTAAATGAATAAAAGGTAGATATTACCTGTCTTTACCATAACTTGGAATTCACAGTTTTATTTTGCTCTAAAATGAACTTTCACATTTAGACCTTAGAACAATTAAAAATAAAACTGGGTTAACAAAATACAAAACTACACATAAAATAAATTTAGTGTTAAACTAGTGAATGAGGCCAGAATGACTGACTATATTGGAGACAGAAGTGGTCCAGCACAGGCAGCGGGAGTAGAAAGTACTTGCATTCTACATTCTGTAAACATGTTCCTGTCTGCCAAAGAATGGTTTAGACTACTTAGGCTCTGGCCACACTTCAGAGTTGTATTTGTATATGTCATTTGGGATGTGGGGGAAAAAATACCTCTGACCAATGTAGCTATTCTGATATAATCTCCAGTATAGACACAGCTATGTCAATGGAAGAGTTCTTCCACTGATGTAGCTTAGAGGGGTAGCCGAGTTAGTCTGTAACTAGAAAAACTTAAAGAAACAATGAATAGTCTAGCAGCACCTTAAAGACTAACAAAACATGTAGCTGGTATCATGAGCTTTAATGGGCAATCTGAAGAAGTGGGTTTTGCCCACGAAAGCTCATGAAACCAGCTACATGTTTTGTTAGTCTTTAAGGTGCTGCTAGACTATTTGTTGTAGCTAACATTGTTAGGGAAAGTGGTATTCCTACACTGGTATGCTGTGTTTACACTATGGGGCTATACCAGCGTAACCTATGTGGACATAGGTGTGCCAGTACACTCTCCATAGTGTAGACATACCCTCCGAGACCGAGAACCAGATTTTCAAACATATTTAGTTACCTATAGATACTAATGGGATTTTTCAAAAGTGTGTAACCAAGTTAGTTGCCTAACTTCATTTCACATCAAGAGGACTTGCATTACTAAGCTGCTTAGCTGCTTTGAAAATCCCATCTGCATCTTTAGTCACATACATATCTTTGAAAATCTGGCCTGAACCTACAGTGTACCACCTGCCCAATATCCTGGCATCCATCAGGACATTGGTAGTTAGTTGAGCGCCCTCTACCTTCAGCTCCTTTATGCCATTTTCCCAGGCACTTAGAATCATAGAATAATAGGACTGGAAGGGACCTCAAGAGGTCATCGAGTCCAGCCCCCCGCCCTCAAGGCAGGACCAAGCTCCGTCTACACCATCCCTGATAGATGTCTATCCAACCTGTTCTTAAATATCTCCAGAGAGGGAGATTCCACCACTTCCCTTGGCAATTTATTCCAATATTTGACCACCCTGACAGTTAGGAATTTTTTCCTAATGTCCAATCTAAACCTCCCCTGCTGCATAGAAATCTGCAATCAGCAATAGTATAGAAAGGAAAGGTTGTATCCATATAATATATTTTATGTGCAGAGAAGAGACTATTCATGTTGCTTTTGTACATATATTATATTTCAGCTGACCTGCCACAAACCTCTTTTGTGCAATAACTTTTTTATTCTTGAAAAGAGATGTTCTATGAATTTTACACATCAAAGATACTGTTATTAATATCAATAAGTCATCCATTCACTCTTCAATAAATTATCTTACCATTATAACATCCATCTTTCATAAAATAACCCAGAATATAAACCAGTGATGGGCAACCTAAGATAGTGAGTGGGCCGCATTAGTGACCCTCCTTCAACTCAATGGGCTGCAAGATTGTCATAACTAAGAGGGTCTCCTGGGATAAGTGCAGTTAGCCTATATACCTAGAATTTTTGGGGTGTGCCAATTAAACTGTTGAAACACTTTGATTGGCGAGCTCATGGCTCTTACAGTTAATATTGTGTGCAATCAGCATGTACCTCACTTCACGTACCCTCGCACATAAAAAGATATACAGTGGCATCACAACATAAAATGACATTTGCTACTTAAGAACATTGACAGTGACCACACTGGGATAGACCAGCTGTTCATCCAGCCCAGAGTCCTGTCTTCCTTCAGTGGCCAGTGCAAGATGCTTCAGAGGGAACGAACAGAACACGATAATTATCAAGTGATAAATTCCTGTCACCCAGTTCCAGTTTCTAGCCATCAGAGGTTAAGGGACAGGGTTTGCATCCTTGACTATCTTGATTGATTGACCTTTCTTTAATGAACTTGCCTAATTCTCTTTTGAACCAGTTATACTTCACAACATCCCCTGGCAATGAGTTCCACAAGTTGGCTATGTGTTCTGTGAAGAAGTACTTCCTTATTTTTGTTTGAAAACTCCCACCCGTTGGGTGATTTCCAGTTTTTGTGTTATAGGAGCTCTGATTCTTGTTTGTATTTGCTTCAAATACAATTCTGTACAGAGAAGTTCTAATCTGTGCAGCATGGTGAGTATAAGCCATGGTAATAGTCTGAAGCTCAATTGCTTGTGTGACTCTGTGTGCATGGTATGACACTAATCCAACTGCCTTTGCACTCCATTTCTTTAAAAACTTGACTTTTGCTTTCACATACCCAATGCATTTTGTATAGCATATGATAATTGGTCCATAAGTCACTGAATAGTCCTAGAATATAGTCACTGAATAGATGGTCAACAGCCATATTCATTTTACTTCCAGTTACCTGGCTGTACATTCCACCACCATGCTGCACCTGCTGGATATTTTACTAAATGTGCATCTTTTTGGTTTGTTGTCAATGTTGCTAGTTGGAATACAGTTCCCCGTTGTCTGCTTTTGACACATTCGTGGATTTTTTTGAAAATTCTGGCATTATGCTTTTTGACAAGCCACCTTGTGTACATGTTCATGAACATCCCTGGATGATCCACCAAAGCTGTCGTCATACCTGCAGCTTTGGCACAGGAAGTAGGAGTACAGGGGGTGCTGCAGCACCCCCAGGTTTTGGGCATCCTGGCCACATGCCCCTGCTACCCAGGTTTCCAGTTGCTGGGTCTATGCCCCTGTTGTCTAGGATACTGGCTGCTGGGCCCCCTGTTTCCTGGGCTCTATTTCCAGCCCCTAGTACTGCTCGGCTTTTGTCCCTGTGCACAGGGTCCTGGACGCTGGCCCTGATGTTCCCTGGAGCTCCGCTTCCAGTCC